ATACTCACACTTCTTCAAAATATCTTTAGCAGCAGATACCAACATTGGTCCTTTTTCATCTTCCTCTTTTTCAGAAGAAAACACACCATGCCGAGTTTCTGAATGTTTTTCATTCAAGAGTTCTTGGAGTTCTTCTGCCAATCTGTTTCATGTTCCATTATGAGCTCTTCAATGTTCCTTGTTTCTCAGATGTGATTTTCATTGCTCCTTTAGCTGCCTGAGTCTTGATTATATATCTCCTAGCTAAGATTGTGCATACTGTAGACCTGTTCAAGCCGTACTGCCTAGCAACATCAGACATCTTCTGGCCATTCTCTACCTTGGCTATTATATTCTCAATTTCAAAAATAAAAACCAACACAAAACTTAATGAGTGACTGCCTGACAGTCTCGCAAAGACTATAAAAAAATTTTCTGTCAGAAAGGTAAACAAAAGGCTGAAATTACAAGGGAGAGTTTCAAAGGTCAGAGGAATTCTACCTGATCAGTATATACCGGGTTGAGTGTCGATGTCGACATTTCCCGCGCTCTGAAAGGTTTCAAATTGTTGCCTGGAGACTTTTACATCACTTCTTCTTGTGTTTGTTCTGTGAGATGTTTGTTATCTGAACATGTGTTTGTTGTCTGAGCATAAAAATCTTTCGCAAAAGTGTTCATTGTTCGATTTGTTCACAGTCTGAACTGTTCGTTAATTGATCACTCACTGTATAGCTAAAAGAACAATAGCTTAACATATTCTGCCATTTGCTAAATCTCTTCTTTGCTCCTGTTTATGTAGAAGGGCTGGCTACCTGCCTTCTCTGATTCTGGTAATTTTTGTAGTTTACTTAAATGTCATATTGCTGCTTTGTGCTATTCTAGTTGCCTGTTGTATTGCACATCAGTTTGGTAGATTTCAGTGGCTAGTAGTGTGTCGAGTGGATGTGGGTGATCTATAATATTATAAGCGTGAGGATCTAGAATTACAAGGAAAGTCATTCTTGGACAAATTAACAGAGAAGAGAAAAGATTTAGATTTTAATAGAAAATAATATTTTTAAACCTCAAAGAATTTTACAAAAACAAATGTCAAAAGAAACTTTCGATTTTAGAAATGAAGTTGATTTCCTTTCCTACGGCCAATTCACGAGATGAGTTAAAAATGCAGCCTTTGCATACACTACTTGGCCGTCAGAGAAGGCCAATATAAAAGGGACATTTTCCCGCCATTCAGGGCAGTCTGTTGAAAGAGGTATTGCCACACAAAGAAAGTCCATCATACAAGTCTGTTATACGAATTTGTTAATTGAAAGTCATACTACAGAGTCCTCCATATGAAGTATAGATTCAGTTATATGACAAGATCGTCATAAGAAAAGTTATCTTTAAAGGAAAGTGCCATAGAAAATATAAGAATAATAATATCCATAATTACAGAAGATTTGCATACATTGAAATATTGATGGAACTGAGAAGGTAATATGATAACGGTTAGATCGGTGTGAACGTCAGGTTTAATATAAGATTAGGTTTAGGTTAGTTATTTAGATTTAGGTTTAAGGATGATTTGTTTCTATTCATTTGTATACTTTTGATATTTTTGATTTATTAAATGTTTTGGTTTACTTTATAAATATGGTCTGGTTAATGTTAGCTATTCATACTCATTCCTATTCAAGTTACCTACGTTCCTCATACTCACAAGTTAGGGATAACGCATGTTAATCCACATGTAATAAAAGTGATTAACTGGTGTCGGGAATCCTGATAAGGAAAAGGGTGATTACACAATCATCTAATTCCGCTTTTGTTTTACTTCAAACTATAAGTCCCTCTGCACTCAATTTCTTTGATAGAAAAACCATTCTTTTGGATAACCCGAGGGCTATTCTAATGGATAGCTGCCGAATAAGTGGTACAAGAGTCTTAACTACTCCGTATCCCTGGCTAGCCCCTCACGTAAGTGTGTTAAGAGGTATATATAACTAGTGGGTTTTAAATGTTGATATTTGTTAAGAGGCAGTTTAAGTAGAAGTAACAAAATTTTTTGATGTCTGATTTTAGTCTGTTTTAAGACTAATGCAAATAGATTTTTATGATTAGATTTTCATTATTAGATCCATTTTGAAGTTATAATTTTTACAGATTTGCTCTAATAGACACTCTGAAATGCATTAAAAAATGCAGGTGGAATCTGCTGTAATTTAAATACTTGTAAATGATCTTCATTGGCTGCTTTTCCATATTTAATGTTTGTTTGTGTGTGTTAAATTACTGCAATGCAACACTTCGGCAATCTGCTTAGGGGATACCTTCTGGCAAGTCTTTTTAAGAGTAACTGGCCCCTTTTCAGGTGTTACAGACGTGGAGAAAACCCAGAAACTTCACGTGGCCAGCCTGTCCTAGCGAGGCACGAACCTACAACCAAACTCCCAATATTTATAGAACAGAACCACTTGGTCACTGGTGGGCTTTTCCATATTCAAATTGGCTTGAATTGATACAAACATTATTATATAATTTAACCCAGTGTTTTTCAACCTTCTTGAATACATGACCCCTTTACAAGTTAAAAAATTCTTGCAACCCCCTAGGGCCATATTAAAACAATATCAGTGATTTTAAAAACTATGTATTTAATTTTCTTTCTGTTGAGACAAATTATTGTTGATTAAAGTGAAAATTTCAGAAGAATTGACAATAACTTAACACACATAAAGTATGAAACTTCCTTTAATTATAACATGCGGCACAGGGAGCTGTTGACTTTTTTTTTTTAGGATCAGAATTTTCAGCTTGTACTTTTCTACTTTTTATTTCTCTTTTGCAAATCAGCTCAACACTTTTTCCGCTATCATTTTCTGGGGTAGGCCGTAATTCTCGCTGAAATTGTAGTTTTTTTTAATATAGTGTAGGACCTACAAACACTTGTCTTTTTCTTTTACCCACGACCCCCTGGGGGTCACGACCCACAGGTTGAAAAATGCTGATTTAACCAAATAATGTATAATTACAAAATGGTGAAACCAAAGCCATTTTTCAAATAACAACATTGCTTCTGGTATGCAACTCTTCCTTCTTTGCCTGTCTACTCATGCTTGCTTCTTTTCCGACTTTTTGTCTCAAGTGTACTTCATATTGTTATGCATATTACTGGAAAAAGTTTTACTCTGAATCTCACAATATGTAAAAAGTTTTAAAATTCATCGTGCTTATCAAACAATATGTTCAGATATTTGTAGTGTTCAATAATGAACTAACACTATGAAAATGTTTTTACTTGCAACAAGTAAAATGGCAAAGCCAGTTTTGGGATGAGACTATGTCTCAGAGAGCGTGAGCAACACATGTGCAAATCTTGCACTTGCGCCTGTTTGTAGAAACAGTCTCAACATTTCATATTTTCTTTTGACCCGGTTCTCAGTCCCTTGACTACCTACAAAAATTGAAGTATTAAAGCTTAATATGTATTAATAATGGTAAACACTTCTAACATGGTAAATTGTCCCATAAGACATTTTATCACTATTATGTGAATCATTTGACTAATTTTTAAACATATTTAAGTATACATTTAAATTTGTACTGATGTTGGAGTTGGTTATAATTCCTACCTTTCATGCAAAATTGCTTCTAACTCTTAACTCCTTGACTATCTCATATATCAGGGGTGGCCAACTTTTGTGTACATAAGATCTACTTTTTATCTTAAAAATGTGTCGTGATTGACTCGTTGTCGTAGACATAGTCTAAGTCGGGGATGGACATCCCCGACTTAGACTATGCCTACAGCTCGAGTTGCATAAAATGTGTATAAATATATCAATTTTCTAGCTTAAGAAGTATGCAGCAAAAATTTAAATATTATTTTCTACAACTTATGTATGTGAATAGTTTTTCCTGCAATGAATTTAGTAAAAATTAAAACAAGAAACCGGCTAACAGACTCACCTCAAAACTAATTTAAAACTAGCAGTGACTAATATTTAATCAAATATTTTCGATACATTACGTTTACATCAGTTCTAGAAGCTAAATTAAGTATACCTATTCTAATTTATAATTATATATGAATAAATAATTGTGATTTACTAGCATTTCCCCCCCCTCTTTTATCTTGTGTGCAGCCCGCATCAGTTCAAAAGTTTTGAAATGTGGCCCTTACACAGAAAAAGCTTGTACATCCCTGGAGAGGGGAGGGAGGTGTGAAATACATATTATGTTTAGATAGATAAGAAAAGCCACAATTTAATTTAAAATATGAAGAAAAAGTACAGTACTTACATTTTAAACAAGAAAAATTGAAACTCAACGTTGTCACTTTCGGGGACCACCACTTCACCCTTCTCTCTACCATGTCCCGACCTACTCTCTCTGTCCCTTCTTTTTTTTGGTTTTACGACCCTTTGTCTACATTTCTTATTCCCCTTTTACAACTGTATGCAAATGGATTGCACATGGACCGACAAAACTGCATCTGAGAGAGAACGAGGAGGTCCGATATCACTACAGTTGCATTTGCGCATTATGTTCACGCGTTGCATTCGGTTACAGCTTACAAGTGTAACACATTAAGTCAAGACATTACAAGTGATCGACCAAAATTGGTTTTGCGATCAATTTGTTGGCCACCCATCATATATGATAAAACAGACCAGTAATGTTTATCTTTGAAATTTGTTAATCTTTACATCTATTTTACAATCATTTGTTAATAGATGACAACTTTCTTATTCTTTCTGCTTTAAAAGAGAAGTGTGTGTTTTATTTTCATTTTGAAGCTGTAAGTTAATTTGAGATTAATTATAAGTGGCAATTATAAAAATAAGGTATACATTTCATTCAAGATCAGTTCCTAGTCAGGTTTGAAATATTTACAGGCTTGATTGTTATTAAACATTGTTCACTTCGGTGCCCAAAAATTGCATTGTAAGCCTTCTTAAAGAGTAAATTTAAACTTTGTTGAATCTAAGACTACAATAAGGTATATTAAATAATAATCAGCATAAATTTTATGATAGGCAAAAGAAATATTAGCCAAGGAATCAAATGTTCAAGAGGTGAAATGCCCTGTCACAGTCTGTGGTGATGTCCATGGACAGTTCCATGATCTCATGGAACTATTCCGAATTGGTGGGCGCTCACCAGACACCAACTATCTTTTTATGGGAGATTATGTTGATCGTGGATACTACTCAGTAGAAACTGCAAGTCTTCTCGTAGCTTTAAAAGTAAGTGATATTTTGTTATTAAAATATGTTATGTAGATGATGATTTATAAAAAAATTAAATTAGAAGAATAAAAATTTCATTTTTTAAACACCTCTCCAAGCAATATAAATTATTGGCATAAATAATCAATTTTGTATGATCTATGACATTCTAAAGTTTTTTTTTAGGTCTGATGATTTTTGATGAACAACTTATACAATAAATGACATTAAGTAATAATCAAGTATACAAATTTTGCATTTTCAGAGCTATCAGCAGAAGTTACTCTTAAAATTTTACACATCTGAAAATAACAACCTATACTTCTATATAAGAATAAGTGATAGTCTGATAATGTTGATAATGTCATGGTCAGCTATAAAACTTTCAGATAAAATGACTAAAATAAAATCTCTCTTTGAGTTGTCTTTTTCAGAATGTACTGTTGTGTCAATTGTGGAATTGGTGGATTGATAGCTATTGTCCTTATGTTATCAGTATGTGCAAGAAAGATTTTTTATTCTTCATTGTATGACTTTGCATACTCATTTACTTTCGGATAAAAGTTATAAAGTTGCATACTATCAAACTCTCTCAAAGTGTTTAAAAAAATGGCAAATCTAATCTTAAGAATACAAAGGCTGATTATTTAATTCATAGAATAATGTTATGGATGAAGACATTAAGCAAAAACCTATTAATTGAGAATTTTTCATACTTAAAGTATTCTCTTTTGACCTTTACACATTTCTGTCTTCACTGTATCAACACACTATATGCTTTCTGGAATTCATTTTTGAATAAATGTCGACTTGTGGTTCTGTGAATCTTGTCATCAGATGTGAGGCATTTGCAATTCAGAGCTTTCGTCATTCGTGGAAACGGAAATAAATCCTGCAATTACAAGGTTTGTTCAAAAAGTAATGCACCAGAATTTATTTTGCTGCTAGTATGAAACATTCAATCATGAAACTTGGGCATCTTCTAGCTATTACTGCAGCTATTTGTGTTATTTTTCAACAAAGTCACAGCCCTCATCTTTGCCATATGCCAGCATTGAGGTAGAGCATGTATGCTGGCTTGGTACCAGTCCTGATTCTGTGGTGCATGCAACCACTTCCTCACAGCATTGACATCTTCATCTGATTGGAATTTTATCCTTGGCTTGCACAATCAGATGCAAGCCAAGAACTCGTCACCATCAAACTCATTGCATTGCATGGTTTTCTTTGCTATTTTTGGTCAATTGTGAGTTGTTTCAGGACCCATTGTGAACACACTTTGACATACTCATGTTCACAGATGATTTGATGAATACTCCCAGCACTAATGCACAAGCATTTTTCCAGGTGTTGAACTGTAATGCATTGTTTCTCCTGAATTGTTTTATTAATGCGCTGCATCATGGCTGCATGACAACCGCTTTATGCCAAATTACAGAGATCTGCCATTCCTATTGTTGCTGACTTAGAAAATTTCACTCGATAACTGATGGTGCTTCAGTTGACAGCTGCAGTACTATAGAAATACAGTAGAGTGTCGTTTATCCGAATCAATTGGGGACTGGGATTGTTCAGATAACCGATTATGTACAAAAAAATATATTAACCTATCCCATGTTGAAATTTTTCTCCATTGATGAAAATTCAATGCAAAGCGACGCACAATGTTAAGCCTAATGAAAATTTTTATAATAATAATCATGGCTATTGTATCATTAAAAATTTTTTCTTTATTTTGTACAAACAAAATAAATATATTAAAAAATATAAAAATAAAATAAAAATTATACTTTAGAAGTTAATCTAGTATCAAAAACGTTCGATTCAGCACGACACACAGTCCTCAGAAAAACACCACACAAAAGTGCCAGTGCTGCCAGCTAAAACACACACACACAAAAAAAAAATATTGGAGTAGCCCAAGACATAGCCAAAGGTTGCAGTGCCACAGCACTAGTGGAAATTTAAATTTGCCAACTGGAACGCTTTTGGTTGACCGGCTTTCAGATAAACGATGCTCTACTGTATTCACAAACGATTGTGTGGTGTCTAACAATTCCCCTTCAGCAATGAGGAATTTTATCACTGCATGCTGCTTGGAACTTACGTCACTGGCACTTGCCATTTTTGAATGAAGCTGTAGTGTTCCTGCCCGGTGGGGGGGGCTTGAAATTTTCCATAATGTTAACAAAAACTTTCAGGTACAACTTCTCAAAAGCAAAGCCATGTCACAGTTTTCGTTTCCCAGATCTAAATTATATTTGAACAACCTTTGTAAATCTGATAGATACGAGAATATGACAAGATCTCATCTGCAACTGTAATACTGATTGCACAGTATTGTACTGTATGGTCTAGTACTATCATAATGGAAAAACTGTTTTACATTATTACACTAAGCTATTCCATTGAAGAAAAACATTTTAAGTTTATGATGAGAATTTCAGCATAGATTTCTTTATTAAAAATTGTTTTATGAGGATCAATACCTCGAAGAACATAAATGAAACAAGAGTCATGTCAAAAGCTCTTGATTCAAAACAAGCATCAGTGACACACTATTAATAAAAGTTGCACAAAATTATGACTGAAAGGAACATCTACAGAAACATGTCAAATGACTTTAGAAAGGATACAATTGGCATATTTTTCAAAAATTTGCATGGAAAAAACTGTTAATGATTCCACAAATTAAATGAACATATTTTATAACTTTGGCAACAAATTAAACTAATATAATATTCTTAAAGTTTTATTAATATTACAAATTGTTTTTAAATAATGATTAATTAAAATCAGTTTTTGTCAGACAAACTTCATATTAACTCAAAAGTAAAATTTTTACAGGTAAGATTTAGAGAGCGAATAACAATATTACGAGGAAATCACGAAAGTAGACAAATAACACAAGTTTATGGCTTCTATGATGAATGCCTGAGGAAGTATGGAAATGCCAATGTTTGGAAATATTTCACTGACCTTTTCGACTACCTGCCACTGACAGCTCTGGTTGATGGACAGGTGAGATCACTTTTTGGATATTGTTAAACAATTGTACTGCCATGTAGAAATAAACAAAAGTTTTGTTAAATGATTTAGTTCCAATACTTGGATTTATATAGAAATTAATGGATCTGAAAAATGGTTCAGTTAATTCACTGTTTTACTAAGGATTAGGATTGTCATAAATTTAATATAAAATTTTTCATTTTAAGAATTATTTGTAAAATAAAAATAATAAATTACTGGTGGTTTCAAAATATACAATACTTTGGTGTCTGTTGACAGACATATAGGCTCTTTATGATTGTCTGTTGGATTTTATTGGGATGTATTTTGGTATTTGTATTCCCCTTAACCAATCATACATATATCCTTATCAGATAATAATTGCAGATTTATTGATATTTAAATGTAAATATCTCATTACATTCCTCAAGTTCTATAATTTCAAACACTTACAGAACATTTCAATATAAGGAATTACAACAGATCATAAGTGCTTTTATATGGCTCACTCAGTTACTGAAATTGAATTAAGAAATAATTACATATCCAGGATAAACATTTATCATTTAAGAAATAACAAGTGTAAACAATGGGAAGACAATACATAAAAACTATTGCATCATATATTAAGCTTTTAGGTGGTAGGTTAATATATAATTTTATGATAGATAACAAAGGGAGCCCTATAAACCCCAAATTGTACAGAGAAATTGCATATATATATATGGTTGGCATATATATCTAAATTAATGGCTTTTTCATGACAGATATAGAATCCTGCTTTTACACTACATATGAGGCATATTGTTCCAAAGTGTGTCTTATCCAGTTTTTAATGAATGCATAAAATTAAGCAAGACTTTTAAAGCATAAACAATATTAGTGTTGTCAAGTTTAATAAACCAATATGTAGAAATTCTATAACTTTTCAAACAATAAAAACATTTTATTATGATCACTTTTTACACTAGTAATTGGATGGTACAGTTGGTCCAAAAATTTTTAAAGTGGATAAGATGCTGCTTAGAATGATGCTTCTCATATGCAAAGTTTTGAAATTATTAAATATTTTAATGATTTATAAAAGTCAAATACTTTTCCTAAACATTCATTGTGCTTACCTTGAAATCATCACAAGTTCACCATTGTTTATCTATGAATTGGCAGATAATATATTTACTATGCACCTTCATGTCAGTGATGTGATTTCTTAAAAAATGCAAATTACTTAAGAATTTTTTTAAAATTCTGCTATATATGTTAATATTGTTAAAGAATTTGATGCCACAAACTTTATAATCATGCAGTCAGTTGTATATTTTATTTTTCATTTCATTTTTTTTTTATTCACATATGAAATGAAATAATTTATACAACATTTTAAGTGGCTTATTCTCTAGAATCAAATCTAATTTTGATTAAACAAGTAAAAAAAGGTTGCATTAAAAAATATTGATGATGATGATGATAATAATAATAATGGGTTCATTTCAGTATTTTCCTTATTTTGTATACCTCATAATGATGTACTTTTTTTAGATATTCTGTCTCCACGGAGGTTTATCACCTTCCATAGATACTTTAGATCACATCCGAGCTTTGGATCGACTTCAAGAAGTTCCACATGAGGTAAGTTAAGCTTGATATGTCATAACTTATGTGCATGCATTTATCATGTTATACAATCTGTTGTTCAATTAACATAATAGTAACCCTGTATTAGGCTATATACATAACTGAAATAAAAATTGTTATCGAAACTACCAACCTAAGTAACCAGTATAACTTAGCAAAAAAAAAAGATATTTGAGGCGTGAGAATATTGGTGAGATACGAGAGTATTACTTGTAACCCTTTTGATCCGTCAGAATGTTAGGACTTACTCACATTGTCACTGGAGGATGACATATTACTATTTAAATTAAGGAAGACAACAAGGTCGTGGGATCGCGGTCTTGTCAGTGACCTGACAAGACCGCGATCCCACCAGCTAGGGTAGGAATTTGCACCCTAACTCACAATATTAAGATTTATATTTAAAAGGAGGGCTGTATAATTATCGAGTGGGGAAGTTGTGGGTAAGTTCCAATCATAGGCAGTTTGGATGTCCATGTTCGACCAAGTGAACAGACAGGTTAACAAATAACAAACAAAAGTTTATGTATTTCTTTATTTTATTCATTAAAGGAATAATCTATTGTTATCTTGATGCCTAACTACATACACCTCTAAAAACGGAGAGAGATTTTACAAAAGGTTCTGATTATAATACTCTGGCTAGTTGATTCGTTTCAGTTGATGTAATCCAAATAACATGTGATGTCTTTCTGATATGGAGATGGAGGAGGGCTGTATAATAGCGCGATGGGACTTCCATGCCTGACCGCTTCATCTATGCTGGAATCTTCGTATGGCTGTCCTCTTCTATGTCGCTTTGCCCTCTATGGCAGTCCTGGATTATTGTCGGCTGCTGCTACTATTATGGCAGGTTATCATTATCAGTGACTGCCCTGAGAATACGATATCTCTGCCTTTCATCCTAAATTCCTCTCCAATCGGGTTTTAGTATATGTAACATCTGACGGGATATGTTTCTGACACAAATGGACAGATGTTTGATGGAGATGTGTGATAACATCTCTCTCAAAGGAAATTTTATTTCCCTTTCCCATGAAAAGTAACAAAAATGTGTCATTTTTGACATTAAAATGTTACTTTAATTTGTTGATGAATTGAGTAAATTTTTAACTGATTAAAAAAAAGTTGTTCTCTACTCCTATTCTCACAGAAGCATGCAATGCCATAATGTTGTAAATGCCAAAAAAGAAACTTTTCAGGAGAGGTAAAAACGATTTTTCTAATGAATGAATTCATTTCAATTTTACAATAAAATAATAAAAAATGCACTAGGTTACAAATTCTCTGGAATATCAAAATGATGTAAATATAAGCTGTAACATTTTAAGCACCAAAAGTCATGTGACTTGCACTCTGGCACTTTAAATGTTATATCTTAGCATAAATTCATCTTCAAAATACAGCCACTTAGTGCCAATATCACCACAATATTCTTTTTCGGCAGAAAACATTGCATTTAGAATTCACTTCTTCAATAAAATGTATTTGGAAAAAAATGGCATTTACAAGATTATGGCTTTGCACACTTCAATTACTGATGGAAATCATCAAAATTTTCTTAAATTTCAGGGTCCAATGTGTGATCTGCTATGGTCAGATCCAGATGATCGTGGGGGTTGGGGCATATCACCTCGGGGAGCAGGATACACCTTTGGGCAGGATATATCTGAGACATTCAACCACAGCAATGGCTTGACCCTAATAGCAAGAGCACATCAACTAGTAATGGAAGGCTACAACTGGTGCCATGACAGAAATGTGGTGACCATATTCAGTGCTCCAAATTACTGCTACCGTTGTGGAAATCAGGCAGCCATCATGGAATTGGATGATGCCCTCAAATATTCATTGTAAGTAGAAATCTAATTGAATTTCCTCAATCTTTAGAGGGAACAGTATTATAGTAAACATATGTAATTTTAACCTCTCATGTACTAATCCTTTATATCAAGAATATTGCAGTTAAATAATTGATTAGTTATAAGTTAATCTTTAAATTATTCTATAATAGTTTAGGTCTAACCTATTATTAAAATGCTTAATGGATTTAAAGACAATGAAAGGAGACAAATTGTGTCATTTGTTACTGATTCTTTTTGGAGACAGGTGGACAAATAATAAAGCATACTGATGTGAGATAAGCCGCGGGTCAGGGGTTAATCTCCTACCGACCACTTACTCGGCACGGACTTGTGAAGCCCGATCTCTGTGTCGTTGGATGGCTAGGGTGGCAAATCGAGTGGGGAGTGCGCTGGTAAGTTGGCAGGTGCTGGTTAGACAGGAGACAGGTCAACAGAATAACAAGCATTTATTAATTAACACAACTAACTTACAAAATTACTAAAGCTAAATGCGATTATATTAAAGTATGTACAGAAATTGGCGATTACGTTCTTAGCTAGGTCGCTGCCCTAGTTTCTAGTTCAGAGAGAGAGTGCTTTTATAAAATCTACCCCTAAATACCTCTAGGTGGAAGGGAGAGTTGGCGAACGTCATCTGTATGGAAGGGTGTGGTGTCTTCTATGTCTTCAACAGGATCACAGTCCTTGGCATGGAGATCGATGAACACAAGTACTAAGAATACCTTCCGTGTGCGGACGCCCTGAGCTTCTGGTGATCTCCCCTTTTATATCTTTTCGTGCGAGAGCTGACACGTCATTGACTCTTGTTGACGATGACGGTGCATTCTTCACACTGATATAGTTTATTCCTCGGTTTTTTTCCGAAGTTAATTAACCGAAAATTTAGATGTTTAAGCGGCCCGTACAAATCCGACAAAATCCGTGCCTCACACTGATATGCAATACTGTACACAGAAATGAAATATGAATAAACAGTAAAACAGGATGCATGACATGACTAACATTATTTCATGAAAACAGAAGGGCACAGACAAATTATTTGGCATATCCCCAGTATAGAGAAACCAGATTAACAAGGGTGTACTCTATTTGTATATTTTAATGTAAATAAAAAATTAGAAAAACACATTTATCAGTGATGTTGTATGTAGCATAATCATAATGTAGTTTTAAAAAATTTACTATTTAAATTTCATCACTACGCTACAATGTAAAATACATAAGAAATGTAATAGAAAGTACACACACAGTGGAATTTATAATTCATTTCATCTATATAAGAAGATTTGATTAGGTTTGAAATCTTATTACTTAGAATGCAACACTTGAGAAAAAATTAATGTTTGAATTATTCTAACAGCAATTGTCTTAGTTAAATAATGCATAATGTAATTGAAATAATTGAAGATTATTACTTCAAAATTCATGCAAATCTACCCATGTCATTGTTACATTCCTATAATTTAGCTCTTTCTTGAAGCCACTAAATTATGAAACCATAATAATTAGAAAGAACAGACAGAAACAATAATGATTTATTGCCCATTTTGATAATTTTTATACATAGTTAAATTATGATTGCTATGATTTTTTTGTGATAAATATTTAGTTTTATTACACGTGTAGTAAATATAAACATTCAAACTCAACAGTTATATATAAAAGCCAAACAATTGTCAAAGTTTATCAGACTATATTACTACTACTATTAATTAAATGCCAAGTAATTTGGCACCTAATACCTGCCTTTCGTGCTATCTCTTGCTACATTTAATAATTCATTTAGAAGGTTCCAGAAGAAAAGAATTGGCCTTAAGTGGGACTCGAACTGTCAATTCCCACATGTCATGCAGTCTTGTTGTCAGTTATGCTACTCAGACCTTCAATTCTTGTGCATCCAGAACTTTTTTGGACATAACCATACTTAGTTATTTATGATGCTGTTGGAGCACCTATATCAAAAGTAAAATGTGTGTTTAATCTGCATTCTGTGAATTATCATTTTGTTTTTAATAGGATCATTTAATAGTAAAGGTAATTTTGTAAAAATATCAGAAGTAAATGCATTTGTAAATTTTTATACACTAAACATTTTAATACAGTATACTCTTGCTAATCTGGCCCTCGATTATCTGGCATGTCCCAGTGTGATTTGTTTCCATGAAAATGTTAGTCGTGTCACACACACTGGTTTAATTTTTGTGCACAGCATTGAATGTCAGTCAGCACAGTACCAAAGGAAAACAGGTAAAATCATTCATTGCCTTTAGGTCTATACAGTCACTAATCTAGCACTTTTTGGTACAAGGAATAGCCATATTAGCAAGCGTCTAACATACACTAGTGTTGAAATATTACTTGCAACCTATGATGAGAATAATATAGAAGAAAAATTGCATTAAACTTGTAACTTAGAATTTAAATAAGTGTTTCAGACATATATAATATTGTGCTTGAAAATGTAGAAACCTATTATGTGCATATGTTGACTTTTGGCAAAAATAATTATGAATATATTCATCTATATTTCATGACATTGATGACCATCCACTATGAGATAAATTATCTGTCTATGCTCCCAAATGTCTTCAGCCCAATTTACACAAAACATAAGCAGCTAATCTGCATTGTCAACAGCCTAAACATTTACATCAGTAGACAAGTTTTAAAATTTACCTATCTGAAAGCATATGAACTTTACAAAAGTCTTAGTTTTAAGAAGCTTCTTGTTAGAGGATATATAACAAATTCCAGAGAATACTAATAATCATAGTAGTTGTACATGTCAAATAATGCTTTAAATCACAATATGTAGTCATAACAGTTTATTCACTGTAACATAATCATGTGTCATTAGCTGAAGAGCCAACATTTAAGACAGAGTGGAGTGGAACGTTTTAGTTATGGAGTGGCAGTTTTTGTGTGATAAAGCCCAATTTACATAAAGCATAAGCAGCCACTAGAACTTCCATTCAGTAATAGGACTAAAAGGTTTCTTTGGTTAAGAGGTAAAAATAAGGAAATTGTTGTAATTTTGTCATTTATTTGTTATTTATACTTATTTTAAACATGCTTAGTATGTACTTGATTGCATTTATCTTCCCAAAGATATTTCTTATTAGTTGGTACAATACCTATTGAATGTTAAGAGCATGGAGTAAGTATAAATGGTGTGGAAAGTGAGGGCAAAATCATGTTCAACTGCTGCGAGCAATCCTGGCGGTTGGGGTGTACACAACAACCAATCAATGCATTGCTTATTGCAACAAGGTTAGATGTTTTTTTGCACACTAACCAATCAACGCATCGCACATTAAAGTTAATCGTCACCTCAGCTGCTAGGGTCACTCCAGTGTAGTGGACAAGTTTTAAAGCATGGAGTGGACAGTTCCTATATTCTCTATGTATACTTACTCTGTGGTTAAGAGTAGTGATGAACAACCAGTATTCTGCGAGATCATAGATATGTAGCCCCAGAACTTTGACATCATAATGGCACAATGTAGGAAACAAGAAAATAAAATTTAAATGTTTTGTTATGAATATCATCTAAACTACATTTTACCAGTTAAAGGATGAGCAACTATATACCGGTATTACTATCTTGCATATTATTATTTTATATCTAGTGTACTGTTGATTATGGAATATGTTGGCACTCAGCAGGCTTAAATTCTGCAACTCCGTAAGAAAAAATGCATGCGATCCACATTCAGTAAAAGTTGATCATCACTGGTTGTCTGGAATATTGGCATCTTCTAATTTTTTTATATTTTGTGGCAGTAGGTATTTTCAGTGTTTAATGTTTCACTTCGTATTGTTATGTGTATTTTTCTTTCCAGCCTTCAGTTCGACCCTGCACCAAGAAGAGGCGAACCGCACGTGACCAGACGTACACCGGACTACTTCCTGTAAGTAAGAGTTCGGCCAGCCAAGAGGACGAAGAAATCTGCACTGAGTTATATCCGTAGTTGTATAAAAACGAAAATTTCTGTAAAAAAAAAAAGAAAAAAATTCGAGCGCATGCCGTTTCCGCTCTTGTGTTATCATTTGTACGTCGACGATATTGCTCATTTTTCTCATTTTTGGTTGTACTATCATAACGTTTTCATCTTGAGCGTTCCGTTGGCCATAAATTATATATCATAATAATAATTAATAATAAAATTAGTACGGTGCATCCCCGTGAGAGTTACCGAGACATTTATTACTCTACGTGTTTTGCTTAATACGAGTGAATTTTTGGTAAGGAACGGATTCGTGTCTCGTCCCCGAGACGACCTGTATTAAAAATGTCTGTGTGATATGGAGTGTGCAAGAGAGAGCAAATAAATATTCTGTACCCGTTCGTATTATTTGGCATTTTATAAATTCTGTAGTCTCAATGCCTTTTTGTTGTGATTTTACGTGATAACAATGCCTACAAAGTATTTTTGCTCGCTAGTTTGACAGACTACTATATTACGCAATATACGAGTTCGTTGGGTTTAGGCAGAATCAAATATTAACCGACAATATTCGTCGAGAATACACGTAAACACTTTTGGAATTAAGTAGCAATAAGATACCAGAGCTCAAAATTTCCAAATGGCCATCGACGACTGGAAATTTTTGACTCAACTGATAACGAAATAATTATTTTTGCTTTCCGACTACTGCATTTGACGCAGTGGACTAACGTGATCGTGGGACATTGCACTAAAGAATTGTCGATAATTCAAGTTTACATTTTTTTTTTTTTAAACTTACCTGTTCGGCTCGCTCTGGTTGCTATTTAAGTCTACTTTTGAATAATAATTATCCGCATTTCGGCCAGGTTTCACTGAAAGCTGTTTTTTCCGTTTACATTCGAAATAGCTAATCAAGAAATACTTAACTACGTCATCTCATATGTTAAAAGATTAAATAGCTGTAGATGGCGATTGTAATACAGTACTACATCGTTCAAACCGAGGTGTCTCTTTCATCGCAGAACTTAATTTCATTTTGTCCTTGCAAAGCATCGTGTACACATCACAATATGGTGGTGGAAATAGAATAAGTAAATGTAACATGTGTAAATTGTCAGTCGTGAAATTTTGTAAAATATAATCTGTTAACGATAATTTTTTTCTGTCCAAAACGAACTTTTCGATACCTCCTTGTATATATTTCAATTTTAAATATTTCAACTATCTGAAATAAACTAATACACAACAGAAAGAACAGCTAATAAGTGCGCAACAGATATACCTTCGGATATAATCGTATCGTTAATTAACAGTCTAAGTAATTAATAATCTCGCGATCACAGGTATCGTCTTCAAAATAAGGAAGATTTGGTTTGTGTTAAAAAAAAACATCAGTTACAATAAGAATTTATTTTTCGTGTTCAACGTAACATTATAGTTTCGTTCAAGAAGACGTTTCATTATAAATATTCACTTATCAAGTGATTTTGATATTATACCTTAAAAGCAGATAAATTTATATAGAACTCTTTAATTATAGAAAACTAACAATTATTTATTGTGACGATGTCACAAGAAATAACTTAAAAATTACAGCCGGCATTAATATATATGCCCTCCACCTCAAATTAGTAGTGGATTGCTCCTGTACACCATACTTTTCCTGTTGGCAATATAGTCGTGCCCGTCGTTACATGCTATTAGGGGAAAATGTTAGAATTGAAATAACGTGATTTCCGGTGCAAACCGAAAGTTCGTATATAGTTAATCGGGTCCTCCTGCCTCTAATCTTTCCATGTCTGGTCTCGACTTTCATCTAACTCCGTTCTCGAGATTAAGGAAGGACAGAGACGGACGACAGTGAGAATTTATAGGTAACTTTTATCAAGTCGCAGCCATATTACAATTTCAAAGTTAAATGTTATTTTAAATACTGAAACTTGAACTGCTGGTTTTCATTATTTTTACATTTAATTTTGTATGGCATTTGATGATAAACTTTCTAATTTCATTAGAAAATTTTATAAGATAATAAGCCAAATATTATATGAATTAAATAAGTTAACAATATTTGACATAATTTCTACAAATGTTTTTGATATTGAAAGAAATAGAGAAGTTTTCGGTGTTTTTAAGCTATGCAGCTTGTACAGTGCACGGGAAAAGCCGCGTGTGTAGGGTTGCGTTTTTTTAATTCAGCGAGAAGGTAGCGTAAATGACGTAATAGATAGCGACCACTGCATGTCGCTGCACGGTACTTAAAATGCAGACCTATAAATGCACACTGTCGTCCGTTTGTCTGCCCTTCTGTAATCGCGAGAACGGTGTTAGATTAAATTCGAGTTCAGATATGGAAAGCTTGGGGTCAGGAGGAACTATATACGAACTTTCTGTCTAGACCGGGAGTCACGTGAATTCGATTCAAAAATTTTTCCGAATGGAGTTACATAGATGACCGCCATGACTGTTATCACGAAAAGTATGATGTATAGAGACAAGGCTACTAATTGGAGATGGAAAACATAAATTAAATGAACTAAAAATACAATTTAAAAATCTATGAACGAGTTGCGTAACTTTCCCGACTTTTATGTAATTTTAAAAATAACATTTACTTCGATTAATAATACAAATACAGTGGTACCTCAGGATTAATCCGTTCCGAAACAGATCGTATCATGAAAATGTCGTAAGGTGAATCATTTTTCCCCTTACATGTAAAACCAAATCATTCGTTCCAACAGGAAAAACACACTCAAAAGCTAAGTAGTACTGTACATTTAAAAAATAATAATAAATATAGTAAGGAAACACTGAAAAATGCGTTTTGTAGTTGTAAATGTATAAATAACCATAATAGAATAATTGATTTTAAAAAATGTAGTTTTATGCACTTTACCTTTGAGGATAAACAATGGTGGAGATGTAAACTGGTGGCGGGAGAAGGGAAATGATACTAAAACTTAACTTACATAACAAAATGTAATAATAACTTAAAAATAACTTAGAAAAGATAAAAAAAATTATTGTTGTTTTATATATATATATATATTTTATTCACTGCTTTTTGCTTTCTTTCGTTCACTTCCACCAGCACTTTCACTGGATAGAGGTGGCTTGGTAAAATATCTATGCAAAGAGGTTTGGCTTTGCCTAATTTTTAAAATGTTTATAAAATGACTTAGGCAAATGTGATTACTCCGAGCAGCAATACAGCTACTGTAATCCTTTTTGGGATGTTTCTTTTCAATAAAATCAGTCACTTTCTGATAATAGCTCAAGATTTCCTTTATCGAGCGAGATCCTTCCACGACGAAGCAACACGCGGATTGAAACCGATGAACAGAAGTGAATAAAAAATGGCGCTGAGAACTAATGTAACGTCGTATGGTGAGTTTTTGTTCGTATCGTGGAGCAAAAATATGTTCAAATTTCATGTCGTATCCTGAAAAATTCGTATGCTGGGGCGTTCGTAACCTGAGGTACCACTGTAACTAAAATTGTGTGTGGCGTCATCTGTTAGAAATTTTTATAACAAAATTTGCTATTTTATAATTAAAAAAATATGAGAAGTCTTAATTTTGAGGGTAGAGACGAGCTTCATAAAGCGTTGTAAATGCTAACAAGTAAAATATTCATTAAGTCGAGCTCCTCGCGTAATATATCACGTGACCACCCTTCTCTCCATTCCCTTGGCCTTTCACAACCAAAATGTAATAGCATCAATGCCTCCTCATATACAAGCTACCATGCCAAATTTCGTTTCTTTATCTTCACCCCGTCCTGAGATATTAAGCAAAACAGACGGCAACACACATACGCACGCATCCACGTTTATTTTCCCTTGACTTTTCAGGGTTCGAAGGTCTCAAACGTGGAGATTTGCAAAAAACGCGGGTCAAATTTGATTCCATTACTTTGCTTTGTTATGTATACATAATAGCCGGAAAAGTAAAATTTATTGTGACGATGTCATACTAAATGCTTTCTAAAACGATTAATTAATGTCTTATTTAATGAATTAGAACACACTAAAAAAGCAAAGATTAAAATTTAATTATCGGCATAGCTGTTTCATCTTTTTCTATGTTCACATTTTTAAATATGCGGCATGTGCAACTTTGTTGAATTAAATTTCTGCAGAAGTATTAATGCGTTTTTAATACTTTTACACAGAGGACACTAAAGACATCGGGCTAAGATTCAAAATATGCTATCACTCTGGTGAACAAAGGAAGAAAATACAAAAGGAGTCATTTTTCCTGGCTTCGTTAAACCTTAGCGAATCCAAGAAAAATGTTCCAACAAACACACACACATCAATATAAACAGACACACGCACGCGGCCGTTGAGTTTGTATGGGACCTGGAGAGAAAGTGAGCTCTTTTTTTGAACAAATGAAATACATAGAAATGCATAATGTTTCTTTATTAATAAAAAGCAGTCTTAAAGATTAATTTTTTGTCAGTAAAAATGGCATTAATTTTAAATGGATAGGAACCACTGTGGGCCTCTAAGTTTTCTCCTGGAATAAGAAAAAATCCCAGCTACTCTCTATTCAGACCTGTCCATACATACATGTATATACAAACCTTTATGTACTGTACTAAACATTCTCGGTCCCGTAAAAAAAGCAATCGAGATACAGTAAGCTTTGCTAAATTTCTAAATGCAAACGAACAAATTTATTATAACATCGTCACAATGCCCGGCTGTAATTTCTAATCGCATTTTTAATTTAAAATATATGCTGGCCACTTAAATTAGTATTGGCTTGTTCCTGTACTGTACATCATACTTTTCCTTTAACAACAGTCATACCGGTCATCTATTAACTGCTTTCAGGAGAAGTTTAGAATACAATTCCGGTTTGCACCGGAAGTTTGTATATAGTTAATCAAGGCCTCCTGTCCCTAAGGTTTCCATGTCTGGTCTTGTCTTTCATCTATCTAATTTAAGCCAATGCCATTTTTTTACTTCAATCAACATTAAAAAGTTAGTGTTTACGTTGAAATTAAAAAAAAAATCCGAATGAACGTGACAAAACTAAAACTAGGCTATTATAAACCAATAAAGAATAAACACTTACTTTTTTAATGAGACGATTACAGGTTATTTCAATAGTAAAACCAAACCGACGGGTTTACGCCGAATTTCTTTTACGGTTGTAGGTGCTGGTCGCGGAACTCCAAATAATTACTGTACCTACTTTCCGTCGCCATGTTACCGTCGACACTAGCGCTCCTACATTCAATTTCGTTGGCTTTCTTTCGAGGAAGAAAACAGCAAACTTTTTTTCCGATAAACTATCGTCTACCGGTAAATTTATAAAAAGGAAAACTATTTCAAAATTTTCATTTAGTTCAAAGATAAAGTCAATTTTTAGTAGGTGGCGTCGAATCGCTGCCGGCCAACGATGTCGACCGCCTTTTCATTCCGCACTCGATTCGTTTCTAATTATAATCGAAAGAACTAAACTTTCGATATAATTTGCGATTTATTTTATGAAAGTTTAAGTACTTTTCAAAAAAAAAATACGAAACGCTTTCAAAGTCAATCTAATAAAAATTTTATTTTTTTTTTAAATAGATTTAATTAGGCTACGTAATTAAGGTATTCGAATTTCGTACGAAAAAAATCGTGTTTTGCAGTATTTGCGTATCTAAAAGAAACCGCGCTTTGAAGTTTAGCGCTAGTGTACAGTACATACACACAATATCCAGCTTCTAGACTAGCGAACCGCGCAACGCATTAAATATTTAGAAATTATTAGTTTTTATAAAATCACAAGAAAAATATTCCAGATTTCAAATTTTTGCATATGTAGTGTGAAAGCGAACTAAAGCTTTCGTGAGTCTTAAAGTGCGTTTGTTAAAAGCGGTCGCTCTGAGTCTCCGCAACTACGGGAGGGCGCTGCTGTTTGTAGGCATTTAGGAAGAAAGATGGCGGCGCCCATACTATAGATTGTAGATCCCTCCGTTACGATACTATTTTAAAATATGTTTTTAGAGACACAAGAAGAGTTCCAATTGTAAAATTTAACCATAAAATGGATTATCTTGGCGACAGAGCATTCAAAATAGCCACAAAAAAAAAAAAAAAATTAGAATGCGGCTACCATTCGAAAAAATTCGAGATCACCGCGTGCACTAACTTGCGCTTTCACTTCTAAATTTTCATTCATAAAACCACATAATGAACCCCGAAACGAAACTGAGCCGTGAAGGACGCCATGTTGCTTTCCACCGTAAACTACTACTACTCCGAGCGGCCGTTTTTTTCTGTCCGATCGCGCACTCCGGCCGGAATATAAGAACGTGTTCCGCAGAAAATTTTTAAATGGGTGCCGCTCGCGCGGAGTTATGTGGAGGAATAAAAGAACGCACCCTTAATTACCAACCAGGATAGAAAAATTAATTTACACCAATTTTCGGAAGAAGGTTTGCTATGGCCACCCAAGACTCTCCGGTCAAATAAGTATTCTAATATAATTATCGTTGGCAATTGCCCGATGTAACAGAGAAAAACTACGATGTTAAAAATCAGGTTTATTCTTAGAAGTTCGAATCATAATAGAACACTAATGCAAATACCAAAATAAATCGTTATCGGTAGTTAAATACTTTACAATATACAAAACGAGTTCGAATCGCAGATTAGAAACAATCGAACGCCGAAATATGTTTTTATATTGGTTACAAAATAGTAAATGTTTTCGTCTTTATAGAAACGGAGTTTTAGGTAGTGTTTGGCGTCTTACAGTTTACAAGTCATCTCTAATTGAAATTAGAGATGACTTGTAAACTGGCGAGAATCCCACGACCCGATCATTTCTAATCCGCCACGCAAACCGCATCAAAATAAATATCGGTTATAAAAATACGGCTTACTTTATTTTATGGACACCCGAAACCGCGCGCCATGATTCTTTTAGTGGGGGTTTCGACGACTTAGGGTCGAAATAAGATTTTAGGTTCTAGATTTTAAAATTCAGATAAAAGAAATTCAAGTTTTCGAATCCTAACACTCAACTAGAAAACTTCATTTCTCCGGAAGGAGGATGAGGAGACAAATTACAGTTTAAATACCAAAACTCACGAGGAAAAAAAATATGGTTGGCGGAACGCGAATATTTCGCAAAAAATCTCCTTGGGAGACAGGTAAGAATGCGAGCCGAGACCCTTCGAAAATCAGGAATCCATTCCCGTGTCCAGTCCCAGCGTCTGCTTCATCACCTCGTAGGTGGAGAAGGACACGGCCACCATGGGGACTGCCCTCAGGTAATTGATGCTCATTCCTCGGTATAGTCCCTTGACGATTCCGTGCTCGCGAAAGATCAGCAAGAGAGTCGAGAAGAGTCCCTTACTGAAAAAGAAAGAAAATTATACAATAAATTAACTCTTCGTGCAGATTTCTGAAATTAGAGATGACTTTTTTTTTTACAAAGGAACTCGTTTAAAATGCGCATCTTGCAATATTAAGTCGTCTTTTAAACTCCTGGTGATAAAAATGAAATCAAATTTGTCTCGTAAAATAAGTCTTAAGTATACCAGTGTAAGTATATTGTCAGTGGTGTAAATTTACCTGAGTATGATGAATCTGTAAAATATGGTCTAGTAATCATATGTTAATTATATGTCTTAAATATCTTTTACTCCATACAAACGAAAATAAATTGCAAAAAAAAATTTAAAGTTTAGTGAAATGGCTCTGTCTCTAACTGTGGAAAATTATAATTGAATTGTAATTTACCTTTAGATAGATATCTAAATGAAAAAGGGCAATGTTTAATTAATTTAATTAACTAAATTGTCACAAAACCAAATATTTGACCTGCAATTTGGGTTTACTAATTTCAGATATTTCAGTGAAATTTGGTTTTAATATAATTGTTTTGTTATTGTCTTGCTAGCTAAAACAATACTTAAGTGGCATAAACAATTTAAGAGTATCTTTCTGTGTAATGAACAAGCTTATTCTGAAGTAAGAAATTATAAATAAATAAAAATGTAAAAATAAAAGTTCTGATGGTTTTTTTCTAAATTTGATGAGTACCTGTTACTTATCAAAAACCCAGACATTGTGTCAAAGATACAGAGATGATCTTTGCTTTAAAAAGTAAATAGTGCTGCATGTTGCTGTAGCAATCAAATTGGGAGCATTTACTGAAATTTGAGGCAAATTCAAATGCTTTCAATGGATTGAAATTCCCTTTTGTATGTACCACTACATGACATAAAACATTGCTGATGAAGCCAAATGGTTGAAATTTTATAATTGTCCTTCATTATGATGTTGTAAAAAAGTATCAAAAGGCAAAAAAGAAGTAACTTTTGATGACATGAAATAGAAGTTATTTCTTACAAACAAATACACAAAAACTAACATTAATTTAACATCTTTTGGAAAAATCAAAATTCTGACAGTTTGAATGAAATAACCATTCAAATGACAGTCAAAATTTTATTTTCTCAAATTAAAACTTATTAACTGTTTTCAGGTAATGGATAACAACTGAATGATGAGCATTAATCAAATACAGCAGGATTTACTTGTTTTCATCACTTTAGAACTCATAAAAACCAATAACATTAATTAAACAGGGTAAATAAATGATAACTGGTGAAAATTCTAACTTTATTGATTCTGCCACTCAAAACGATATATCTTGTTTAATTGTTTTAACATAACTTGAAAAATTATTCGTTATCAAATTATTATTGTAATTAACTAATGTAATTCCTAAATTATTACTTGAAGCTATAATTTTGTAAATGCCATTTTTCTCTAATTACATTTTATTGACAAATTGAATTCTAAATGCAATGTTTGCTGCTGCAAAAGGAAAAAAAAAAATGTGGTGATAGTGGTGCTGTAAGTGGCTGTATTTTAAAGTTGAATTTATGTGAAGTTTTATGTATACTTCACTTAGATTTGTCTATTATTGGCAGTGAATTATCATAATTTTTAATTTGAAAATAAAATTAGTTGCATTCTCACTACTAAATTGTGTAGGAGGCAAAAAGCAAATAAAACAATTATTAAATAATCACCTGAATTTATGAGTTTCTGGAAACATCATGCTTAACTGCATTCTTCTTCTTGCCACATCCATTGGATATCTGATAAATCATCATCAAATCTTTTATCTTTAATATATGAAGACACTCAACAAGTATGGTAAACCACTTACGATACGCTCTGAGCAATGGCTCCTGCCAGTCCTCCACACAGCAATTTGGCAGGAATGATCAGCACAAGACCTGAACTGGAATGGTGACTTTTGCCAAGGGAGGACGGAAAGTATTCCAAGCAGAGAGATTTCAGTCTTTCAAACACGTAGAATGAGAGTCCTAAAATTGATTAAAAAATGAATTATATTTTCATTTACAGGTATATGAATGATTAAATATACAATAAGAAAAAATTATCATTTAAATAAAAATAATAAAATCATTTAAATAAAAGTCACTCAAGCTTATATTTGTAGAAAAAGAATTTTTCAACAAAAACAAAATATTTTAATTTTGCACATTAATGTAATGTATAGTAGGAATAACATATTCTTTTATACATATCAAGTTAGTATTATGTAAATAACTATGTTGAAGACTTTCAATGTTCCTTTCTTAAAATATTTTTATTTCAATAATAAATTCTCTAAATTATAAAAAAAAAACTTGAAGGAAATGCATTAATGTATGTACTAATGTATTCTCTTTTGCTTTTTTATAGCTGGTTTATATTGGCACATAGTATGATGGGCCCAGTTCAAAATTCCAACATGATTGAAAACCCAACAGGTCAAAATCCCAGAGAATAAAAGTTTAACTCAAAAAATGTTTAATGGTCAATTTAATAGTTTGTTTTCTGTGTCAAACAAACAAAGTTAGCTTTACAGTAATTGATTATATAGTACTAGTAGCCTGGGACGCCCCCTAGTGGGCGTTTTTTACAAATTTCCATGAGGCACGGTTTCTTTGACTTTTTTGTTCCTATCAATATGCTCTACAGCTCTGTTAAAATCCAAATGGTAAGATTTACCCTCCGAATGAAGAGGTGGCGACCCCCCCAAACCGTAGACCCCTGTACTAACAATAAAGTNTAAGTAATCCTACAATTTTTTGTTTATAGCGTAGTTTATACGGATTATTTCCAAAAAATATATACGTATTTTGAAAATGTTGAGTCGGATTAGTCTAGAATCGATTAATTTTATGGAAGAAAACCTTTCAATCAGCCGTAGTCCGTAGACTTCACACGTGTCGAGCTGTGATTGGAAGGACTCGTAAGAAATCGGATTCCTAAAGAATGGAACGTATCTATGATCTTATAGGGGGGTCGACTGTATATATAGATTAGGTATTAATGTATTATCTACTAATATAATATTCTATGTATTTATATATATTTATGTATTATATAATATAAAATATTATATACAGGGTGTATCAGAATGACGTTTTAAAAATTTGGGGGATTGTAGAGGATAAAATTTTGAACGTTTTGATGTAAGGAACCTATAGCCAGAAATTTGAACTAAAGTGTCTACAGCACTTTGCACATTCTATGTGGTTGGTATGCTGAATGAAACAGCAGAATACAGTATTTATGACAAGTTTTATTGACAAAACAGTAGAGGGCAATCAAACTGTACATCAAATCAGTGGCTGCACTACTTTAGAGTAAATGTTCAATGTGACAACCACCAACTTTGTTACATAATGTGCAACAATGAACCATGTTTTGTCTGACTCTCTGTAAGATGCCACACTCCCCTCTGATGGTGACCTGAAGGATGACAAGCACTAACAACGTAAGTACACAACGTCCTATACACAGGCTCAGTTAGATCACTGTAGTTGTGTGTTTACAGTCTTCCATCCGCAGCAATAACATGACGTCAATGGACAGAAGGGTAGCTACCAAAGTGAAGGGTGGGCAAGCACTTCCTACCTCTGTAGGCACTTTTGTTCAAATTTCCGGCTATAGGTTCCTATCAAAACGTTCAAAATTTCATCTTCCACAATCCCCCAAATTTTTAAAACGTCATTCTGATACACCCTATATCTATAAAATATATATTAAAATCAACATAAAATGACTCTCCAGATAGGATTTTATATAATATATATAATCTTGTCTGCGGAGTCATTCTATGTTAATTTTAATTTTGAATTATTAACCTTTTTCATTGTGTTTCAATTTTAATTTCTAAAATGATGTACAGTAGAGCATCGTTTATCTGAATCAATTGGGGACTGGATTTGTTCGTATATCTTATTTTTCGGATAACTGATTATGTACAAAAAAATATATTAACCTATTCCACGGTGAAATTTTTCTCCGTTGCATGTCACTTCGCGTTGAATTTTCGTTGATCTTAAGCCTAACAAAAATTTTTATAATAATAATTGTGGCTATTGTATCACTAAAAATTATTTCTTTATTTTGTACAAACAAAATAAATATATTGAAAAATATAAAAACTAAAAAAAAAAATTATACTTTAGAAGTTAATCTAGTATCAAAAACTGCACAAAAATGCCAGTGCTGCCAGCTAAAACACACACACCAACAAAAAAAATATTGGAGTAGCCCAAGACATAGCCAAAGGTTGCAACACCACAGCACTAGCGGAAATTTAAATTTGCCGACTAGAACGCTTTCAGATAACCAACGTTTCAGTTGAGCGGCTTTCAAATAAATGACACTCTACTGTACTAAGTTTAGATTCAGCAAAGTTCATCATATTAAAATTTAAAATACTTCAAACAAAGACCAACCTGCATAAGGTATCATTCCAATTACAGTAGGCGACAAGCCTTTATAGAGTGCACGTATTCCTCCTTCCTAAAAGTAATTAAACTTTGTTTAAATATCATAGACATATTTTCACTTATTAAATGCTATCGTATTTTGTTAAGAAAAAAAAACTTGTAAATTTTTTTTATTTGGTAGACAATTTAAAATAAGATATTTATAGAATAACTATAATTATGATAATTCCAAAAAATATATCATACTATAAAAATAATTATTGAGTTTCTAATTAACTGAGAGGCCAATGAAAAAAAATCATGTACGCTTATATTAAATTTCTTAATATGCTATTAAAAAATTCTCAAAAATTAATTTCTCAATATCCTATATCAGTCTAAATACAGTCTGATAAATTTGGTGATTAGGTATTTGAATTAATATTATAAATCAACTTGCTACTGATTTTGGTTGATAAAATGTTCACTGAAGATTAAATGAGAACAATTTTCAAACAGTCTTCAAATAAGAAATATTAATTGAAGCATTTTCCAGAAAAACATCACTCATTAACAACACAAACATTCTAAATTCCAAATTTAAAATGTTTGTTCTAAAAACATTTAAATAAAAAGTTTTTGATTTTTTAAAGATTTGAAATATGATTGTTTAGAAAAATATTTAAGAATTTTTTTATTCTAAACAATCAAAATTTACTAAATTTACATTCAAATTAATTTAATCACTTACAGTTTTAAAAATGCAAACTAATGTGTGCAAAATTCCAGAATAGATATGCTCTCCAGTGACTTGAAATGCCAGTCTTGCACGGACCATGTCCAATGGATATGTACAAATTACTGCAGTAACACCTGCAACAGGACGAATAACACTTGTAAATTAAAAAAATTAATTTACTTGTTAGAAAATAACAAGTATTTATGTTAAATTTTTATCTAAATTAAAAAAAATATATATATATGTTCGAGTTTAAAAAAGTACGTAAAGTTTAGTCAAAGATGAATAAAAATTTAACTTAATTCATTTTGTATATTAAAAAAAACCATAATGCAGACAATATTTTTAAATAGCTTTAACTCACCTGCCATAGATCCAGCAACAAATTTGCTTAAATGAGATTTTTTTCCAATATGGTTCTTTAATGTCTGAATAAATACACATACATTTGTACAATATACACAAAATTTCAAAGCCATTATCCATTTTCGGGGTGGACAATGAAAAAATGATCAACTTTCTCCATAAATTTAATTATGAAGAATGATGATTAAAAATTTAAAGATTACATGGATAAGATGTAAACATATAACTGAATCATTTCAAAAACAGTAAATATGTGTGCAATTTATCTGTCTGCTTTGAGTAGATAACTGAAAAAAATAAATTTTTACAAATTGTTCAATTACAGATGGCATTTTAAAATTTTTAATAATAATTATTCATTTGAAATTTATATACAGTATATATAGACTAGTCCAAAAGATACCAACCACATTAATGCTTTATTACAACTGGATAATGAAATATATAAATCTTACTCAGATATCATTCAATTAGGCATTTGAAGCCATTTGTATCTTCAATAATGTTTGCCTTCAACTTCAATCCTGATCTTATCTAAAAGCTTAACATCTTACTTCAGAAGAACATCTCTTAGAAGAGCAAAGATTTCATAATCTCTCAAGCTTCTCCAAAATTTCTGGTTCAATATGGAATATGCTGTTCTTGAGATGTCTCCATGAAAAAAAGTCACGAATTCAATGCTGAGAATATGCAGATCAGTCAATACCCTCCCTATGGTGCTTTCTATAATGCAAAAATCATTGAAGTTGATAGCAAACATATTAAACACATTATAAAAATGATTTCAGGTGCTGATTCAAGTTATATTTGAGCAAGATTTGCATATCATTCAGTTATAATACAGCAATCTGGTAGGTAACCTTTTAGACCACCCTGTATATAAATAAGTTCAAATTTTTAAATATTACAATGTCTTGTTATTTTAATTTATTGTCATCCATCAATCTTTTTTAAAATTGTATAAAATTATGTATATAAATTGCAAATAAACAATCCAATTTATGTCAAAATGCAAATATAATTATGAAAAATTCATTTTTATGATTACAAGATTTACATACTAATAAGATTAAAGCTACTTTTAATGGAGCAAAATATCAAACAAAAAACAAGAAAAATGTTCAAATACTTTTGAGTTTAATCTGATGTCGTCCTGGCTTACAAGTTTATTGATTTGCTATGTGTATTAAACAAATTACAACATTTTATTTATTTATTTATGTACTTTTCAAATTTTCAATTTTAAACTATTTCTAAATTGTTCCATTAATGTAATATTGACATCACCCACCACCATTATAATAATGNTGTTAATTTAAATAAGAATTAAAATTGTTAATTTGAATGTTTGAAATATGACACATGATAGGGGTGCCTCTAGTGTCCGTTATCAAACAGTTATGAGACAGACAGACGGATACCCGTTGAATGGGTTATACAGTAGACTCCCCTATAATTACGATTCCTATAAAACTGCGAAAAAATTGCGACGGTATTCGTAAAAACCGGTAAAAAAATCCTATAATTACGTAAAACGTCATCGAGCAGCCGAACTACTTTCCCGCCGTCCGTAGCACCACGCTACGGAGAGATTACTATCGTCTGTACAGTATTATATATAAATTAGGTACTGTACATATATTATAATTTTTGCTGTTTGTGTTTA